CGGTCAGGAGCTGGCGCAGGCGGTGCTCCAGCTGCTCGCGGTGGAGCTGGTGCGCACGGCGCGCTGGGAGCTGGCCACGCCTGCCTTCCCCGCCATGCAGACCGTGCCCATCGTGCACCCGGTGGACGGGCTGCGCCTCTTTTTCCACCCGCTCGCGCATTCGGCAGCGCGAGATGGGCTCTGCCTCTGATCTGCTGCGCTGTGGGACGTGGTCAGGGGCTTGGCGACACCCATCTGCACTTCCCCGGTGCCAGGTCGTGCGCCCTTTATACTCGTTCAACAAACGGCCACCGAATGAGGCTCTGTGCGGGCCTCTGAGGGAGGACGAGCGCGAGCCACCGTCACAGCCCCGGAGAAGGCCCAGGCCGGTGAGGCGGCGCCTCTTGCGCGCTCAGCGCCCTTAGGAAGGAACGGTCGGGGGCCACGCTCCTTAAGCCCTTCCCAGGACCCTGAAGCAGGGATGGAAGGAAGGGATTTCCATTGGAGCTGCGCGGTCTCACCTTTCTGTGCCACCCCTGGAAGGTGATTGGATCGTGGGGCCCCCTTGTGGACCGTGCCAGAGACTTGGCGCGCGCGGCTGGACCTGCGACCCTTGGGCAGAAGGGGACGCCGGCAGCACATCCCTGGCGTTGGGCCATGGGAAGACACCGAGAAGGCGTCCAACGGAAGGCCCCCAGGCAGCCATGGCCACACTGCGGGTGTTTCCAGGGCTCTAAACGGCTCAACATCACCGGATTCTGCTGGCGACTTCTTAAAAGAAAAATTCCTCCTTCAAGAACTTGTTTAATCTTCCCATTTATAAGGGAGAATAGGCACACCTATTCTCTAAGGCTGGATTATTTTCATGGGAGGCTGAGACATACTCAGGTTTGGGATATTTGTACCCAAAACAGGAAGGCCAAGAAATAGTTTCTTGGCAGCAGTTGAGTGAGGAGGCGAGGGCTTAGCTGGGCAGCTAGCTGCTCCCTGTGGAAAGATATGGAGTAGAGGGTGGGGGACACCCAGGAAAGACCCCCCTCCATGACCCATCCCAGCATACACCCAGAGAGGGGCCTGGATCTGGGCCAAGACTGCAGACAGAGCGTAGGACAGCCCCAGGAGCTGGGCCGCCAATTAGCTCCATGATAGATGGCTGCAGGGTTAATACCTCCACCTCCTTTTTTTTAAAAAATTGTTTTTTATTGATTTTGGAGAAATAGAAACATCAATGATGAAAGAGAATCATTGATCGGCTGCCTCTTGCATCCAATCTCCATCCTACTGGGGATCCAGCCTGCAACCCAAGCATGTGCCCTTGACCAGAATTGAACCTGGGACCCTTCAGTTCACAGGCCAACGCTCTATATCCACTGAGCCAAACCACCTCCACCTCCTTTATTACAGATTAGAAACTGAGGCGAAAGACCCCTTGGAAAGCCAGCAATGGGCTCTGGACTGCTGACCAGTGCTTTCATTTACCCCATCCCTTACACACACACACACACACACACACGCACACACAAACACCTCTCCCTCCAACCCTTCCTCCCCCCTTCAGCTTCTGAGCCTGTGGCCACCATGTAGGTAGAACTCAGCCCTTTGGTCCTTTCATAGTGATCCCTAGGTTGGCTTAAGCACTTACTCTTCTGGACCTTTCCAACACAGAGGTTCCTATCAGCATTTAAACTAAAGCCAGGAGCCTCCAGTGTCTTCATTCCCAACAGCCTCAATCTGCCGCTCATCTTCAGACAGGCGGGGGCAGCTGGACAGGATGGGTGAGCCGGGAAAGTTGCCGCTGTGGCCCCAGCTGACCCCTTAGTGAACCAGAAGGAAGCTGGTGCCCTCCTGACCTTATGCTTAAGGTGGATCCCTGGGCCAGGAGGAAAGGGGGAAGCAGCAGGCGTGAGCAGGGCCAGTAGCTCAAGAGCGCAGCGGGCCTTTCCGAGTCAGGCTGACACCACCATAACCTCATTCAGGGCAATTCATCACCCACTGCTGACCACAGGGCCGGCGCCAGAGCCAGCAAATGTAGAGGGACTGAGGCCTGCCCTCAGGGCGCTCAGAGGCTTGAGAAGCCCCACCAGAGTGAGGTGGCAGGAGGACCAGGTTTGGGGGTTGATTCTGATTTGGGGAGAGAAGAGAAATATGGGGCAGGGGGTTCTCAGGAGCCCTGAGAGGGTAGCTGGTGCCGAGACCTGGTTTACCTGCTCTGGATTCTGTACTAACTACAAGCCCCTGTAGGGGGCAGCTCCAATCTTACTCTAATTTTCCATTAACCCGTTATGTTCAGTAATTTCACGGGATACCTGAGCTCCTTTGTTAGTAGCTCCAGATTCCCCCAAGAAAGGAGCAGACATGGCTCCTGCCCTTCTGGATGGGTATGCTCACGAAGGAAGGGGACAGGAAATAAACTAGCAAACAAAAAGAGCAAGAATATGTCCCATGGTGATAAGTGCTGGTGAGAAAATCAGGCCTGTAATGCTGAGTGCCTGGGGGGGCTACACTCATCAGGGTGGGCCAGGAAGGCTTCTCTCAGGAGAGGCCATTGGACTTTGCAAGGAACCAGCCAGTGGTGACCTGGAAGAGGGCACCCCAGGCAGAGGGGACAGCAGGTGTAGAATCCTGAGACAGGACAGAATGTTCCAAGATGGGAAGAAGGGGTTGAAGGGAGAAGAGAAAGGAGGGGTGCTTCTGCTGCCCTACCTCACCTGACTCCCTTCCCCCAGCAAAAACGACTCCCCGCACCCACCCCAACCCTGAGCCACAGGGAGACTTTTATAAACAATTTGGAAACATTTTGTTTTCCAGCGAACCACCTCCCCCTCCCCCCTCCCCGCCCACCGCCACCCAAGAAACCTTGGCAAGGTTCCTAGATCAAAGTTCTTATTGGGCTGGTAATTTATTGAGCCCTTCCCCCTTCAAGATGTTGTTTAATTATCTTCACTCTCCCATTGAATCCTTTCTGCCGGGACAGCCGGCCCGCCTGACGCCCCCACGGTTCTCGATGGGCAGATAGATTAAAACACTCCCCTACCCCTCTGGCAATTTCCAGCCCGAAGGCTCTGCTCATCTTGTGACCCGGCGCTCGCTGAACTTGGCGAGGCGGCCCAGCAGAGTTCACTCGGATGTCACGGTCCGGCCTGCAGGGGTCACAGGCAGGTCAGGCCTGAGGATTGGGACTGGGCCCCTGGTCACGCCCCCGCTCGCCAGCGTCGCTCACCGGCCACAGGCACTGTTCCGAACGGGGCGGCCCCGGGATATCAGCGTTACCTCCAGAAATCCCAGCTCCTGCCAGAGTCCAGAAGTTGGCTGGCGCGCCAGGGACAGTCGCCAGGTCGTTAGAAGAAATGACAGTGGGAGAGACCCTTTTCTAGAGCTTCTGAAATGGCCAAGTAGGGTGATGGGGAAACGCTGTCTCTTCCAAACACGCGGCGACCCGGGCCTGGAGCGGTGCGGGGTCTGCGCGGTCCCTGAGTCCGCAGATGGTTTCCGATCCCGCTGGCTCTGGGGACCGCGCGGGAGGGGCACGTACTTCCCAGCTCTCAAGAATAAAGTTTCTCCTCTCCCCGGGACGCTTTCCAACGCGTGAGGTGGGCTCGTGCGAGAGCCGGTATTCAGTTTTAAACAAACGTACGATATTCTGTTCTGTTTTCGGCCCCGCTGGGTGCGTTCCGCTCCCAAACCAATGGCGCGTGTCACCCGGCCTAGTGGGGAGCTGTGCTGCTTGGCCGGGTGGGAAGTGGGGCTCGCACGTGCGCTTCCCGCAGGGTCCGAGCTCCGGGCATCAGCAGCACTGGGTACCGAGGTATTTGGGCAAAAGCCGGCAGACTCGCTCCCCCGTTGGGATTCCAACACTCCCATTGGCCTGCAGAGTACCCGTCTCACCCGGTGGGTGGCTTTACGCAGGGCAGGAGCCCGCAGAGCCAAGGACGGCTCGAGGTCACTCCGGCGTCCTGTGTAGCCTAGCGTGCCTGGAGCCGGAAACAGTATTTGCAACTCAAAGCCCCTTTTGGAAACTCACAAACTACCCAGAGGTGTGGAACGGTCGGGAGTGATCGCCTCCAAATGCAGGAGGAGGAGCAGGCGCAGGGATGTGTGGTGACTTGCCCAAAGCGATGCAACGAGAGATGGAGCCAGGCCTCGGGTCCAGACCCCTGGGCTTTCCTTTCACCATCTCTGTCTCGTTATCCTGCTGGGCCAAAGCCCCCATTCCCCTCTGCCCAGCCGGGGCTGCACGCCTCGGGTCATCGGGACCGGGCCGGCTGTGGCCAGATCGCAGAGCGCCGGTCGCCGGGCGGTGGAGGAATAGCCCCTGCGCTCTCCCAGGGTGGGGCTGACTGCTGCAGGTTTGCACCCGAGGGACCTGGAGGCTGTCTTGTACCCTTGAATGGGACCCCCGTGACTCCCCTTGAGGGGGTTGGGTAACCGGGATCCAGGATCCTGGGGTCGTGCCTGATTCCCCGCGGCTCTCCCGGGGGTCCTGGCCGGATCTTCCGAAGAGTCGGGAAGCCTCCGTTTTGCTCGGCTTAGGGACCTCAGTTTCCCCATCCGTGGGATGAAGCAGCTTGACGATCCCTGCACGCACTTCCCTTTGCTTCCCTAGCAGGTGGGAGGGAGCCCACGCGGCGCCCGTAATTGGAAAATCGGGGAAGGCAGCTCTGTTCTGGGACCGCCCGTCGGACCCGACAGGGGGGATGCCAGAGGGACTGCCAGGAAGCCCAGGGCTGGAGTTCACGCGCCCCGAGCTCGGGTCGGCCCCAGTCGCCACCTCGGAGCTCCACACACCTTGGATGGGGGAGGCGGGCTGCTCCGAAGTCCGCGCCCCGGGAGGCCCGCGCCGGGGGTAGCCGCCACCAC